TGCCTCTAGAAGTGTAACGTTTTTTTTTTTTTTTTGCCCATCTGGTCCAATTTCTACATGTCTCCCCAATTATGAAAAAAAAAAAAAAAAAAAAAACATTCGTGTGACACCGCAGAACGCACTTCCCTACCTTTAGCAATCCCATTTTTGCACACTCCGTAGTGGCAAAAAGAAGTGAGCATTTTCGCTAAATTGTCATGTGGGGCAAATTAATTTTCCCTTTTGGTCGTTTTATCATCCCATTCGACAACGCTCATCTGGACGTTTATATTCGCATCAGGAATAGTGGGGCGTGTCATATGATGTGTTTTTCTCCCGCACTCCCAAAATTGTCTCCTCTGTGAGGCTGAAAAGGCTAAACAGGCTAAGTCAAGCATAGCCAGGCCTCGACAAAATACACTGCAGACCATCTGTACAGACCACACTTCTCCTAAAAAAAAAAAAAAGTTATACTCCATTACCCTCCAGGACACTCCACAAATATTCCAGACACCATGAATAACAACCTGATGCTGTCACTTAACAACGCCAAGGACTACCTGAAAAGCAGAAACGAAAATGGCCAATCCGTGTATAACCACATATGTGATTTGATAAATTTTATCATCGTGGAAAAGCCAGAAAAGAGTTATGAACATTTCGAAATGATCTCTAGTCATATAAAGGAAATTAAAAAGGGGGACTCTGTTTCGGCTCCGTCTGCCACATCATATGCCTCTTCTCCCCACCACGGCAGGAGCAAAACATTTAAGGAGCCCAACTTGAGGGACGTCAATTTAGACAACTACATATTGCAGGATTATATAAAAAACAAAAAAGACTGGCTAGCCAAAATAAAATTCTCACTCCAGAAAAGAGTACAGCACAAATCTGCCCACTTACCTTTTTTAAAAAATTTTTACGAGCAAGCGAAATTAATTAACTGGGCAGGATACAACATAGGGAGCGATTCTGTTTGGCTCATAAATGAATCTTTGAAAGATGTCCTCGAAAAATATAAAAATGACTTGGCCTCCCTACATTTCTGGGGAATACTCAAAGGGGTAAAAAATGACTACTACATTTTGGAAGGGCTTCTAAAGGGAGACTCCAGTTTCCTGTTTCAGAGGAAGGGGGAAAAATCTGCACCTTCGGAGGATTCGAATGGAGGGGAGTCCTCCAGGAGCGGACGGTCCGCATCATCAGATGGGGGGGAGCAAGAAGATGAGGACGAAGAAGACGACGAGGAGGAGGACGACGAAGAAGAAGACCACAATGACGAAGAGCAGGAGGGCCGAAATAAGAATCACAGAAAATCAACAAATAGAAAGGGGAAAAATAAATCAACGGATAACCACCAGCTGAAATACAAAAAGGAAGACTTTGTCACTTTCAACAAGAGGGTCAATAGGCATGTGTACTGGGCGTCCGTGAACGGAACGAATGAATGGGTTCTCCTAAAACCTACGACACCAGAGTACATCCAAATGGCTAGTAAAACGAATAAAATGCTTACAGGAGATATGAACAAAATAATAACCGCCTTTCCAAACATTGCCATAAAGGAAAAGCACTACCTCAGAGCGCTCATTTCGCTCATATCTTCCTACACACATATATCGCCAAAGAAGTATTACATCACCAGGGGGGCAGAAAAAAAACAGGTAACTGGGAAGAGGAAAAAAGGAGGCACAGATCAAATTAGTGATGCGGATGAAGATGAACCGGATTACTCTGGTGCGTCTAACGAAAAAAATGACGATTCTAGCGAAACGAAGGATGAAAATGAATGTACGGACAATGATGAAGAGGACGAGGGGAAGGACGGAGATGGAGACAAACGGAACGGAAATCTTGACAATGATAACCACGATGCTTGGGATGATATTCTAATAGAAAATAAAAAATTCCAATTCGATGCAAATTCCCTGTCACGTCTAGAAAACTGGGTTCACTGCAAACATAACTTCCTGCCAAATGGACATGTCTGCTACCCCAAGGATGGACGCACGAAAAATGGGGGACGAGCAAGTAACGCCAAAATGAAACACATTATTAAACATAACCCACCTTTAAAAATCCTAAGAGGCATTAATACACAAAACGAAAACCAAGGTGCCCCTACGTGGAAATTGAAGCACCTCAATCCTGGCCAATACTACGGAGCTCATAGTTTCCATTACGATGTAATAGTCCTATACAACTTTACGTTTTATGGCGCCTTTACAGTTTACTCAAATAAGCAATTTTTTAACTTTTACATTGGAAATGGGATAAAATCCAAGCACTCGTTTATTCATACTTATCAGCCTGGTAAAGTCGAATCGGACGAGAGTGAGTTGTCCGAGATGGACCACTCAAGCTGAGAGGAGAAAAGCACACCCTCTTTGTGATGAAATGGCTAGCTAGCCAAAAAAAAAAAAAAAAAAAAAAAAAAAAAAAAAAAAAAAAAAAAAAAAAAAAAAAAAAAGGCAAAAAGAAGGAAAATTTTTGTGTGCATATAATGTGGTCTTTGTTCCAGCTCGGTATTTTTTTTTTTTTTTTTGCCTACCCTATCGTAATGACGTTGCTGTGCCACTACATGGTGGTGTCAGCAACTTTCCTTTTGTTTCTCGCATAGGATATCATTTTGGAGGTACCAACATACATGGTCACTTTCGAAATAGAACCGTATTGATACACACAAAAATCGATTAAAAAAATACTACGCTACATTGTGATCACCATTGGTAGGTACGTACCGCTAGTTCGTACCATCCCTCCACAAACGCTAACACCTTTATGCCGTCTGACGATGTATTGGAAGCGGCTCCTCATGGGAAGAAAAGTAAATGACCAAATGGACTTGAAATTAGTTTCAAAATGTTAAACAGGTTAAGTTTGTTTTTAATGTGTAAGCAGAATTTTCCATCATGGAGAAGGACATACAAAAAAAAAAAAATGAAAATAGAGAAACAGAGCCAACAAAGAGTGTCACACTAAGGGAGACACACTCACAGGTAGGAGGAATTTCCAATGCTCGTCTCTTCACTTAAAAGAGGTCTTTTCACCAACAGCTTGCTTAAAATGTTAAAAAAAAAAAAGGCAAGGGCAATATTTCAAGCGTGCCTTGTGCACATAGTGTGTACATTGGCTTCCATTTCATGTCAACTTGGATAATGAGCTACGTCTGTGTTGGATCAAATGGGTGATACTCCAAACGGACATCCGTAAAAAACGTACACACTGCTTCTTCCCACTGTTAGTATAAAATATCCATCCAAGGTAACATTAGTTCCACCATTTGACCAGGCCTAGTCCGTCCTGCTGCACGGTGCCCTAAAAAAGGGGATTACACACGAACGGGTGAGGAGAAGAAATCCCCCAAGGACAACGCGATGTGCAGACAAATCGTATAGCCGTGCCGCCATTCGGCTGCCCTATCTTACCGTTATGGACATCGATGGCGTCGTCTCATCCTTCCGCATCTCGTTGGGGTCTGCAAAAAGTACACGTGCATTTATCCATGTCGCCCCGCATCTGCGTGCTCACGTAATATACACCCTCACATGTACATACGTCAAGTGCGTTTTATTTATTTATTTTATTTTTTTTTATTTTCCCCCCTTTGCCTACCGCTAAAATAGGTGTCCAGCACCCGCACTCTGATCAACTCATCTTTTGTGTAAAAAAATTTTATCCCCTCGTATATCCAGAACCATTCCTTCTTCTCCATATCACTAAAGGGAAAACGCAAAAATGAGCAAAAATCAAAAAAAAGTGTTTTCATTCGTTGAAGGTCATTCCCACGGCTGCCGCTCCCAACTCGTTCACTTTTATCCGCGTCAAAAAGAAAGCATTTTTTTGTTTTTATCTCTCTCGTAACTCTCATCGTACAACTCCTTGGGTTCCTTCAAATTGGCAGAGTTCACCCGGATGTTCTCGAAGAAGCCTATGCTGACTATAAACGAATGGGGGGGAGTACCATGTTTACCGTGTGGCTGTCCCCATTTGGAGTGTGCCCCCCGTCCCGGTAGGCACTGTAGCCTTGGAGGGGGGTAATGTATCATACGTGGGGCTCTATACAATGCACAAAAAATATATAACTTATTCTACACGTGCATCTTGCTCCATCTGCGTATGTCCTACTTATGATTCCATTCGAGTCGGACTTTTTAACGAAGCCTTCAATAATTTCATTTTCAAACGGCTGGAAATATACCAGCCTGAAAATTACGTCAAATCGAATTTCCCCTGTGCCTTTTAGAATTTCCCTATTCTTCACCTCCAGTATGTCGTACAGACCAACACACAGACCCACATTTTGCAGCACCTTAAAAAGAGGAGGAGAAAGAAAATTGTTCCAGATGTCAGGTTCCTCTAAATGGTTCACACGTTAAATGGGTTTACGCTTTCCCTTGATGAATGTGTTGCATAAGCTGGTTGGCCGCTACAGGAAGGGCATAAACGTGTCACTTTTTTTTTTCCCTCTCCCTCCCTCACACACTCTATTCTACTCCTTTACTGCCAATTTCGTGCCGCCTTCACAATGGATTATCCCACAGCTCACAATCATACCTTGTCGACATACTTGGCCCTTATTAAAAATTCAATCACATTTCTTAACTCCTCTTCCATAAAATGGGGCTCAATCTTTATCACGTCTTCTATGCGATACAGGGAGAACATCGTTGACAGTTAATAAATGAGGAAAAACAGCAACGAGGCTTTGTGCCCTACTTACGTAGGTTCATGATTTCACCAGGGGGGGTAATCAGCGTACACCTTTGTATACATATGCTTATTAGGTAAACTGCTGCTGGTGTAAAATGTGAGCTTCTCTCATGAGGAAAGAAAAACCAACACCGAAAGCGCCATTTTTTTAAAGCCTATAAATACGGTTTGGGCCCCAACACGCCAAGTGAGCGTTTCACGCAGGTGTTATTTCACTTGGATGTATGAAACACTGAACGGTGAAAAATGGTGGGGTGAAAAAAAAAAAAAAAGGTTCTCTATGTAATACTTTCCATGTAATGCCCAATCCGTCTGAACATCCGTGCACGTATACTGAAACGGTGAATTATCGCCGCCTACTTGGTTTGCCCAGAGCCACGTGCCCCCTAGGTTAATTCACCGATATGTATATTTTTTGTTCATTTTTACGCCCCTTTCTCCTGCATAATAGGGTTTCTCACTTCAGTCCCACCGTCCGCGGGCCCCCAGAGGCAATTTTTTTTAACACGTGAAACTTTTACAAATGCTTAAACATTTGGTATTTTTTTTTTTTCCTTCCGTTGGCTATCTATCCCCAATTGGAATTTTTTTTTTTTTTTTTTTTTTTGTTCTTTAGAAATATATAGAACACACGCGTTTTGAGGCTCAAACATTCTGCTCCTGCCCGCCACTCCATCATCTCATCATCATCATCACCCACCTATACGTTCACCACCAGGAGGTTCCCTTTGAGGATAGAACACATACATTGTGCGTGAGGAAACGTACACAAGTATAGGCGCTGCACAAATATATATATGTATATTTTTTTCCCGTGGACGTTATACCTACATGCTTGTAAATGACCAACAAGCAAAATTGCTTACTCTTCTATTAGATGCCTCTCAAGTGAAAGGAAGATGGTAAGTTACCCGTTTGGATAATACCTAATTGTGCGATGGGGCTACACCGAGGAATTGCCATTACAGGAAATATATTTTGGCTTATCTGTGTCAATGTATTCGAACACTGCTACAAGAGATGATACACACGGGGGGGGTCCAGTTAGGGTGTCCCTTTTTTTTTTTTTTTTTTTTGTTGCCCACCTTATGCACCCTCTTCCTCGTTTGTATGTTAAGCGCCTTTCTTGTGTCCTTCCCCCTCTCAGATCGTCTAAGCAGAACAGCATGTCCATCTGTGCGCGCGCCGAGTCACCCACCCCGTGCAGCTAATCCATGTGCGCATTTTCATTCTGCAAATCGACACAGTCAAACACCTAATGATCACAAACACACACACACCACCCGTTCCGTGTGTACGTAAGTTATCCCCTGTTTAAATAATCTGGCATGTGACCCCTTCCTCGGGAGAAGAGACCCAAGCTCAGCATCTTTTCGCCACGTTGGTTGGTACGTCCGCCAGTACAATAGCGGACACCGTCAGAATTTGTTCCAGCCCGCCCAAGCAACATCCCACCCACCCACACGGACACACATCGCTCAACTAAATGATGAAGAAAAAATGAAAAAATGGAAAGGGAAAAGAAGATGGCACATAAATATCCTTCTGATGTTCATTCATCACTTCTTTGATAGGATAAATTATTCCATGAGAAACACCTTCCTGCATGACCACTACATTTATATGAAGTTTAAAAAAAACAAAATCATAGGTCTCTTGTCCATTATTAATTCCTCAGTATGTTTAATCATTACTCCCTTGGTTGGGTACTATTGCGACAAGCATAAAAAAGACAGGAAGAAAATGTTGCAAATTATATCTGTGTCGTACCTCTTGGTGAATATCATCCACTACATGTTCATACGCACCAACAGTTTGGGCCTCATCATATTCGTCACTGCTGTGACGAAGATGCTGCACGAGTGCTCCCACGTGATTACGGAATCCATCTTCATAGAGAGCATAGACCGGGGTGAGTCCGTCTGCCTGAGCATGCGTACATGAACACGCGTATTTATACGTCCATACGTATACACCCGTGCCCGTAACAAGCGTACTTATTCACACCTGCGTGTTTGCACCCGCCCCACAGGCAAGAAGAGCATCATCTTTACCTACCAAAAACTCATAAGCACAGTGGCCACCATGCTAGGACCTTTTTTTTGTCTCCTCCTATTCTACGTGTATAATGACAAGTGGAACATTAAAAACATTTTTGTTATTTTCCAGTTTTCTATATTAACAATCCTGCCACAGACGTTCATAAGTTTCTTGTGGCAAAACAATACTGTCGACCAGATTAAGAGTCCCGAGGAGACGGCACTGATCTCCAAAACAAATGATGAGAAGCGTGTTCTTTGCCTCTCCACAAGTCATATACCGTACATTGTTTTCGTTTCTCACATTATTACCCTAGCTGGGGCAGGTAGGCCTTCTTGTAGACGGGGCAAGAGGGGGGCGTAAGCGCCCCGGTGCGAACTTGTACGACTGATTAAGGAGGATCTCCACGTGGTGAGGCCTAGCTAACCCCTACACGCCCCACTATATCATTGTGCTCGCACATTGTGCATCCCACCCACAGGCATGACGTTCAAATACTTCTCCCTGTTTCTCAAGTCCGAATATAAAGTGTCGCCCATGCTAATGTGCGTCCTGAACATTGTCATTCCAGTCCTCCTGACCGTTTTCACCTACAGTAAAATTTGAAAAGGAA